ACAGTGTTTGGTTTTCCGTTCTTGTGTTAGTTTGCTGAGAATGATGGTTTCCAGCTTCATCCATGTCCTTGCAAAGGACATTAACTCATCCTTTTTTTATGGCTTCATAGTTTTCCCTGTCGTTTATGGGCTGGCAATTTCATCTTGGACTTTCCACCATCCAGATTTGTGAGACCTAAATTACTGTTGTTTAAGCTATCCAGCCAAGAGTGTTTTGTTACAGCAGCCCAAGCAGACTAATGCACCATTTGAGGACTAAATTATTTGAATGTTGCATTGTGCATCTGTTTTTACAATTTAACAATTATTATTTCTCTTTTCACAAAATCCTACAAGTCAAGCATGCTACCTTTATTTTCATTTTATGTGGGAGTAAATGATGATTGAAATTTTAGGTTATTTGATCCACCCAAGATGACTCAGCTGATAACTCCATAATCAGGGCTCAAGTTTATGGTGCAGCTGGTTTATAGGAGCCTGTAACTGCTCAGGGTATGAGCTTATGTAATACTTTCTTTGCTGAAAAGAGCTAGTCCACCTAATACAAGCAACCTCAACTTTCCTACTCTGTCTAAAAATGTCTCTATATCTTTATTGATTTTTCTATCACCTTTCTGTCTCCTTGCTAATAGAGCTACCTGTGACTTTTTTTATATCAAACTTTCTCATGGTTCACTTGTTCTCCCTTCACTCACCCTAAAATTATTTCTCAATTTGTTTTGTTCCATCAGCCTACACACACATTCTCACATTCTCCCATCAGAAAGGACAGAAATAGATTTGGAGGGGCAGAGGAAAAATTATCAGCACATATACTGATATATGTGCTGATACTGATATTTCTTGCTTTATTGATTTGTTTTGTGTTGACAAATTATTATGATAAACAATAATTGAGCTTTCTTTTCTATACCTTCTCATTCTTAATATTCTCATATCTCATAATATAGTGCTACTATATCTTATTCCAAAACAAGAATTATAACAATATCCAGTGTTTTCCATAATTATGTAAATAATTGTCACTGCCAAGCCAAGTAGGGTATTATAATGTTTCCTTTCTTATGCTACTCTCTTTGCAGAACCTTATATTTTCACTTGTTTAGCTTTCTATATATTTGTCACTATTTTTTTCTAAATGCTCCAAATTATTCTTCATGTAGCCACACACATCAGATAAGCCTTAAGTTCTGTTTTCCCCTAGAACTTTCTTTTCCTTGCTTCAGTTTGAGTTGGTTACTTTCTAGGCCCTGGTCTGGCTGTCTACCTCTGATTTCTCTCTTGGAACTTCATAACTCTGTTTTTTCTGAATCCATGTCTTCTTTTTTCCCCTACTTTGTTTTAGTAGGATATACCTTCCATGAGCTTCATGAGAAAATGTCCAAAGGTGGTAAAATTTTCAATTCTTGCATGTCTACAGATATCTTTATTCTACCTTTGCATTCAATTATCAATATGTCCAGAGACAGAATTCTGGATTGAAAATGGATTTTCTTGAGAATTTCTTTAGAAGGCATTTCTCCTCAGCTTTTTAGCTTCTACCAGTTGCTGTTCAGCTATTACACGTTTTTATGAGTTGTGTTCTTGGTATGTGGTCTGCCTTTTCTTTCTAGATGTGTTTATGTGCTATTATGTTTTCCTAATCTCAGCTGTTCTGAAATTTCATGATGACATTTGGGGGTTTCTTTGTTTGTTTATTGTGTTTGGCATACAATTAACTTTCAATCTCAAGTCTTGTTCTTCAGTTTAGCAAGATATCAGTATAATGTATCTTTGATAATTTCCTTCCCTCCATTTTGTTTTTCCTCTTTCAAAACCTCATTGTTTTTATGGTGGTTCCTCTGGGCTGATCCTTTGTTTAGTTTTGTTTTTTTCCTACCTTCAATCCCGCCTCCAGCAGCATTTAGTTTGTGAATAAGTTATATGAATATTTTAAAAATTGGAAATGTTATCCCTTGTTCATGGACAAAAATACTTGCTTTCATGCTCAATAATGTGGCTGCAGTTGGGCATTAGGCTAGTTCTTTCCAACACCCCTTTCATAATTATCCTCCCACTTTGCAAAAGAAAGTCAAAATCCTCATTGTATCCTGACTGTCACATACAAGAATTTTTGCATGTCACATACAAGAATTTTTGCACGTATGTTCATCAGGGATATTAGTCCATAATATCCCTGATGAACATACGTGCAAAAATTCTTAACAGAATACTAGCAAACCAAATCCAAGAGTATATCAAAAAGATAATTCATTGTGATCAAGTAGGTTTTATTTCAGGGAATGCAAGGATGATTCAACATATGCAAATCAATAAATGCGATTAACCACATAAGCAGAATTAAAAACAAAAATGTTAAACCTCAAAATTGAACATGAAGAATGGATAATAAAAAATGAAAACAAAAACATAAATCATATGATCATAATAGTTGCAGGAAAAGCATTCATCAAAATCCAACATCTCTTCCTGATAAAAACCTTCAAGACTCTAGGCATTGAAAGAACATACCTCAAAACAATAAGAGCCATATATAACAAACCCACAGCCAACATCATACTGAATGGGGAAAAGTTGAAAGCATTTCTCATAAGAACTGGAACAAGGCAAGAAGAATATACACTCTCACCACTTCTATTCAGCATAGTACTGTAAGTCCTAGCCAGAAAGATCAGGCAAGAGAAAATAAAAAAGGCATCCAAATTGGAAAAGAGGAAGTAAAATTATATCTGTTTGCTGATGACATAATTTTATACCTAGAAAACCCTAAAGATTCCTTCAAAAGACTGCTAAACCTTATAAACAATTTCAGTAAAGTTTTAGGACATAATATTAATGCCAAAAATCAGTTGCATTTCTATACACCAATGATGCTCAAGCTGAGAACTGAATGAAGAACTCAATCCCATTTACATATAGCCATGCACACACACGAAATAACTAGGATTATACACTTAACCAAGGAGGTGAAAGAGCTCTAGAAGGAGAAATACAAAACACTGATAAAAAAAAAAGTAGATGACACAAACACATGGAAAAACATCTCTTGCTCATGTATTAGAAGAATCAGTATCATTAAAATTATCAAATTGCTCAAATCAATATACATATCCAACACAATTCCTATCAAATTAATAACATCATTCTTCACAGATTAGGAAAAACAATCCTGAAGTTTATATGGAACTAAAAAGTAGCCTGGATGGCCAAAGCAATGCTAAGCAAGAAGAACAAAGTAAGAGGCATCACATTATCTGACTTCAAATTATACTGCAAGCTTATAGTAACTAAAGCAGCATGGTATTGGTACAAAAATAGACACATAGATCAACGGAACAGAATAGAGAACCCAGAAATAAATTGATATGCCTACAATTAACTTATCTTTGACAAACATAAACAATGATGAAAGCATATCCTATTCAATAAATGATGCTGGGAAAATTGGCTAGCCATATGCAGAAGAATAAAATGGGAACCCTAACTCTTACTACATATAAAAAATTAACTCAAAATGGATTAAAGACCTAAATTTAATACTTGAAATATAAAAGCCCTAGAAGAAAACCTAGGAAAAATTCTTTTGGACATTGGCCTAGGCAATGTGTTTATGACTAAGACCTCAAAAGCAAATGCAACAAAAACAAAAATAGACCAATGAGGTGCAATTAAACTAAAAGCTTCTGCACAGCAAAAAGTAATTATCAATAGAGTCAATAGACAATCTGCAGAATGGGAGAAAATGTTTGCCAACTATGGATCTGTCAAAGGACTGATATGTAGAGTCTACAAGGAACACAAACAACTCAACAAGAAAAAACTAAACAGTCCACTAAAAAAGTGGGCAAAGGACATGAACAACCATGTGCTTAAAAGAAGACATACATACAAAAAATTCTCAACATCACTAATCATTAGATAAATGCAAATTAAAACCACAATGAGATACTATCTTATGTCAGTGAGAATGGCCGTTATGAAGTCAAAAGACAACAGATGTTGGCATGGACACAGAGTAAAAGGAATGCTTATACACTGTTAGTGGGAATGTAAACTAGTACATCTATGTGTTAATAAAACAGTAGGGAGATTCCTCAAAGAATTAAAAATAGAACTACCATTCAACCCAGCAATTCTATTACTAGGCATCTACCAGAAGGGAAAAAAGAAAACATGTGTAAAAGACACGTGAGCTTATTCTATGTTTAATGCAGCCCTAGTCACAACAGCAAAATCATGGCATCAAAGTGTCCATCAATAGTTGACTGGATGAAGAAAGTGTGATATATATACACCATGGAATACAATGCAACCAAAAAAAAAAAAAGAACGAAATCATGTCCTTTGCAGTATATATCTATATAAATGCTTATACATAATATCTTCATTTTTTTATGGTGGATAGTAACAAATTACTATAGTTTTCAAATTCCATTGAATAAATAGCATAATTTAAAAATGCCAATATATACTATATTCTGAAAAATTGCATCTTTTGCAGATTTTCTGATATTTGACAAAATATTTAAGATGTCAACTTAAAAATTTGAAAACCACTTATGTGTAATTCTTTATATACTGTTTTACTACACTCTATAGTTCCGTATCTAGTTGTTTTCAAATCTTAGATCTTTTATAAGAATACAGGTGACTGAGGGTAGGGACTACATTTTCTAAACTTTGTTTCACAGAACTTTATTAATAAAGTATTTTGTTCATAAAAGAAGCTCAACTAAATATTTGCTGAATTAAATTATTTTCATCAAATGGAGTCATTCAGTCTTCTTCTACTGTTCTTATTTAATCTTCAGGTTAGTTTTTCTACTACTTATAATCCAAACAACTGCCAGATGGGAATAAAATTTGGGCTTCAAAAATCATTCACATTTTATTTCTAAAATGAGAATGGGAAAATACTGTGAGAAGGAAATGAGTATATACAACAAACCAATATCATTTTTAAAATGTGTTTTTTTATATAAATGAAGCAACACCAAGCATTCAGAAATATATTTATTGATAACAAACTATTGTATATATATACTTTTAACTCAAAGTAGTTTCTTTTCATAGTCATTCTTTTTAATACGTACCAAATAGAAAGCAGTAAAAATAGCAGCAGATGGATCAGAGTGGTTGTCAATAAATGTTTTCTCCCAGGTCACTAATATACAACTGCAATGAAAAAAAACCCCAAATATATATATATTTACACTTGACTCATCACCTCTGCTTAGGACCCTGTATGCACAAGATACTGCTGACCTGCTATATTTGCTACATATGGAACAATTAAGCTAGCAATAAGAAGTAGTTTATGCATATATGCTGGCCTAAATGTATATACCTCTTATGCAATTACTGAGGATTATCAACAAGGTTTGGTCTTGTCTGGTGATTATAATTCTATTAAATTACATTTAAATATGATAGACAGAATTTTGTTTTATAATTAGTATTATTCCAAGAAATAATAGTGCATATAGACCTCATAAAAATAACATAACTTATGCAAAAGCAAACTCAAAAAATACAATAAAAAACTCTTATAATCTTACTTAGAAATATCAGGTTTGGATTTAAGAATTAGCCTAGTATCTCTCCTGATTCTTTGTTGTTGTTGTTGTTTTCAGGGGAGAGTGTGAACACAGTCCCCCACTGCTATAAATTCTGCAGTTGGATTTCCCACGTTTGGGGAAATGGCAGAGGTCAGCACGTCCGGCACGTAATGGATGAGCCTTGCTCTAGGAAAACCACCTTTGGGATCATGGTATCTCCCCTGCCAGGTAAGATTCTCTCCTGATTCTTACCATTTCCTCATTGTTGTGACATTGTTTCTTTGAAGAAACTATTATCTTGAACTTATGAAACTCCTTTTATTTAAAACAAAAATTTGGAGCTATCTCATATATGGTAGTCCTTGATTCTAACGGTATTGCTATGAATACTAGTTCTAGGTAGCATGTATTCAGTACTCTCTTTGTACCAGTCACTGTGCTTAGCACTTTGTGTTTAATCCTCACAACTCTCTGAGGTAGGTAATAGTACTGTGCCCATTTTACAAGAGAGGGCTGGAAGCCCAGGTTCATGGAAGGCAAAAGACACAGATGGGGGTATTAATACGCTGGCCTTCCTGAAATCCCAGTTAGACTGTGAGCTCCTTAAAGTGTAGGGGGAAGGAGCAATGTCTTATTACACCTTAGTTGCATTATGGTGCTGACCACGTAGGGGAAAGTAGGGAGGAGGAAGCTAAAATGGGACTTTTTCCTGGGAGTCATGACAGTGGGCAATGCTAGATGTAGCAGGTGAATGCCAGACCATAAAGTCTATTCTCATATTTCAAACAAGCTAAGAGAAAAATCACATTTGTAAAGATGTTAGCATATAGAAATACTTCCACCAAAATGATAGAGTACCTGGAGAATTAGGTGTTTAAACTCACATCTAATTTCTCTGGGATAAAATCTAATTAATTAACATCAACTTTATTTGTTATTATGATTGAAAAATAATACCACTGAAGACCTAAGATTTTTATTATAGTAAGGCAATTCTTTGGTCCTCCTATAAAGCTTCATCAACTTCCTATTTCCCTTTAATGTTTCTTTTCAACTCACATGAATCTCTGTAAGGAAAATGTTGTAGAAGGGAAGCAGTATAAGGCACTTAAATCTCTCTGGGGCAGAAAACTTTAGAGTCTGAATTTCTGGTGTTTGTGGGCCAGTCAAATAGTAAGTAAGCACTTAAAAGTGGTCATTTAAATCTTTGCTACTTTATTCTGTTAGTGAATTAGATCAGGAATAGTGATTTTATTAAATCACATATTTCGCCTATAAAAATGTTAAGCTCCTTTACCGGTGTTAACACCGGGCTTCCCAAAGGCCATCAGCATCCTGAAGAAGCATACAAGAGCCACCCAGGAGCCACTGTCCTGTTCCTGCCCTATTCAGAGACCCTATATTTTTGTCCAGAGTTCACAGTTTAGCACAAAGATGTCCTGAGTTCTTTAAGCTCATTTTGACTGTATCCTGAAGTTCCAAGTGAAAATAGTTTATCCCAAATTGACCCAAAGGAGAAATGAATCAAACTGAAAAGAAACAATTTCTTGTTGTTTGGACTGCTACATTACATGTGAGCAACTTTAGAAAACAAGGCAAATGTTCAGTGGTTGTTCAATTTTTTCCCTCTTAAAGATTACTTTTTAAAAAGTGCCTTTCTTCAGTACACATTAAAGCAAACATAAAGATTGATCAGGGCTCCACTTGGTGGAGAAAACAGCCTACAGATACGTTAGCACCTTGCTAAGCTTTTGGGACCCATCAGAACTGTATTTCCATAATTGTAAAATTGACTGTAAGCTACAGTCTGTTTAATCACCTATGTATTTCCAATTTGCCTATGAAGACAAAGGCAGATTGATAGCGTACAATACATGTTAGTCATGGCCATAGAATAGTTTGGGTAGAATCTGTATACAGCTAAGACATAGAAGGAAATGTCGAAGGAGGGGATTATTCTATGTTAGGAACATACTGTAAAGCAATCAGTCTTTCCAGGAAAATTAAATAGGGATTTTGATAAAGTCTGAAGTTGAACATTTATGTGAAGTTTCAGAAGCCCACACTCAGGAATGCTCCAACCCTACCTTTTCAACTTATTTTGAGACGTAATAATTCAGAAAATATTTTTAACAAACTGATCAATCCTCTACTTCAAATTTTCTTGCATTAGATTTGATTAAACGTATTAGGAGTTTGAGGTAATATACAAAATGTCTGTCTCATGATTGTTTGAGTGCCTGTGAAAACCAGGCTGTGCTCAATTAAAAAGCAAAACAAACTGTAACTCAAAGCCTTGTTACAAAGAACAGAGCTAAGAATATTAGAACCACCTGCCTTTTAGTGTAACAAAATATGCTAGCCTTTTTGGCTACTTAATTCAGTCTTACCATCAAAAATATATTCTCTAACTTAAAAAAATACTTTTTTGGTAATATTTGATGACATTTCTGATGAGAGCACATAAAAATAAAACAATACTTCAAGATGCGGATATACAATGCTCAAGGAATCGTCATTTAAAAGCAGACGGTTCCCTTATTGTTTCTGTTCATGTCAAAAAGCAGGGTTTTTTGTTTTGTTTTGTCTGTTTTTTACACAGTCTCTGTAGCTCCTAGGAATTTCATTTCTACGGCAGCTTTTGGCCTGTGGGCTGAGCCACTCTTCTTTTGGAATTCTGCAGCAATTTCCTCAAAAGACTTTCCTTTGGTTTCTGGAACTTTAAAAAATGTAAACAGGGTAAAGGCCAGGAGCACTCCAGCAAAGAGGAAAAACACATAAGGTCCACAGAAGTCCTAGAGAGAAAGCAAACACAGACTTCCAATTAGCGGTTGTTTGACCCCATCTTCTGTTGAGTAAATCTGTGGAATCTCAGGCTGCTTACCGCAATGTACTGGAAACACAGAGCTACAATGAAATTGCAGGTCCAGTTGCTGAAGGCAGCTATTGCTAATGCAGCAGAACGGGGTCCTTGACTGAAAAACTCAGCCACCATGAACCAGGGGATCGGGCCTGGCCCAATTTCAAAGAAGCTGACAAAGAGGAAGATGGCTATCATGCTCACGTAACTCATCCAAGATAACTTATTCTGAGGAAAGAACAAAACAAAAACAATGGTGGGGCTGAGATCATTGGCTGCTTCTTCCTGAGTTCAGAGGCAGGCATATATCTTTTTCTAACTTATTTATGTTCAAGCAAGTACAAGTTGTTCTAGTCTGAGACAAATTATTCCAGTCGAAATCATGCTTAACTCTTTCGATTTAGATTTCTTCTAAGGAAATCCTCTGGATTAGGATTTTCCTGTGAAGGAGGCAGAGCAAGGATCCAGTGACCTTTGCTCCTACTCATACCAAGGTTGCTAGGCAAGATGTATGGCTTCCTGTGAAGTAGTGGATGAGAATGCCAGGCTGGCAGAGGTCCAGTACATGCCCAAGGTCGCCCAGGCAGCCATGTGGCAGAGTCAGCATTAAAACCCAGCTGGTGCTAAATCCAGAGCCTATGCTCTAACCATGGGTACATGGCCTCCCTGGATGACAAGTAGAATTTACATGCTAAATATTCAGTCCTTAAATCCAAGAAACTAGTTCATCTTTTCTTTATATATCTCCTTTGTATTTTATGCTGTTGCTCTGGGTTTATTTCATGAGTCAACCTCAAATATTTTTGAATACAAAGCACTTTAACCTGGAGCAAGGAGCTGCCAGGTGCCATCATATGGAAATGAAAAACCTCAGTGCAGGCACCAAACTTACCAGCAGTACAAGTCCCACGGACATGAAGATGGCACAAACAAACATCCCGCTCATTCCAATTAGAAAGAGAGAACGTCGCCCTGCCTTCTCCACGAGGAATACCTAGGACAGTTTTAAAGAATATTATCTCAATTTTGTGAGTCACAACATATTGACTGTTTACTTAAATCATTTTTACTGCCAAAGAGGTCATTTTAACTCATACAACAGGTAGGAGGAAATTCACCATTCCATTTTACAGGAGTGAGATCGAGGTGGGGAGTGACTCTAGCCCCAGATGGCAGAGCTAGTCTCAGTGGACAATGGGTAATGATCAAATATCTGCTTAATTTAGTCACATTGGTTTGAATAGGCAAAGAGGAAAAATACATAAGGTCCACAGAAGTCCTGGATAGATAGCAAACACGGACTTCCAATTAGCAATTCTCTGACCCTACCTTCTGTTCAGTAGATTTGCGAAATATTAGGCTGCTTACCACAATGTAGTGGAATTATAAAGATAGAACCAGAGTGTTTCCACTACTCCAGGATTATCACTTTAGGTACAATATTCAGAGACTGTACCACTGGGGTCTCTCCCAATAGATTTTTTGTACATTCAAAATGTGAAGGTTCCACATTTAAACGTGACATTAACTTATTTTCTGATAATTATCCTAAGTTATAATTAAAAGGGTTTGTGCACTACTGACACCTGAGACAGTACAACTGTCTCAGGTGTCAACTATTCTCATCCAACTTTCTCACGGCTTAATAAAGTCCTATTACGACCACTCACCAGGCAACATACGGAATTTAATCATTGTAGCAAAATAGGCCTGCATTTTTCTGGTATGCTTAATTGTACACTGTGCTGGGAGTGAACTATTCATTTAAAAAGTTAGGACTTTAAAGTAAAGGGTTAAAATGCTTTCTTATCTTAACTGAGGAAATATGTCGTATCATAGACCCCTTTAGTTTTATGGACTTTTGCATTAATGTTAAGATTTACAATTAGTCAAGACCAGAGTTTTTATACTCGTGCTTGATTCTTGGAATGCTGCCAGGGCTGGTGAGTCACTCTCCTCCTCCTCTCCCACAGAACTCCCTGTCATCATTTCTCACCTTGGTGCCTTCAAGTAAATTGGCTAGGTCATCAGCCTATCAGTAAATCAATAGCAATCCGATGTCTTCAGTATAGTGAGCTCTGACTCTGAAGATATCTTAGAAACATTTTGCCTACAGTGAAAGCCTGTTTCTCAGAGGCACACTCGTATCGGAGTTTTAAATCACTTCAGATAGGATGATAAGCAAAGAGTCCACGTTTAATTATTGAGGAGGAAGTTGGAAAAAACAAACTTTTCTCAAGTTCATAACATTTCTTTCTGTATTTTAACTATTTTATTATGATGTTCAAAACTGGTTTGGTGATATCATGTCAAGCTATTGTAAATTACAAGCATTTCTTTGGGAATAAGGTACCTTACTATAAACTCTAAAACTGCATGTCTTGAATGTTAAATTGGCATCTGTCCCTAAGCCTGGTGTGCACTCAGGATGCGTGTGACAAGGGGTGAGACATGGTCATTGGCTGGAGATGTCTGCCCAGTTGGAACACTCATCTTTGCCCCAGTGCCTCACACAAATCCTGGGTACCTAGTTGGAATATGGTAGCCACTGCTTCTCTTTCAGTGTCATTCCTGCCCCCTAGATCCCTCCATATTTCTTTCTGCTTTTTTCTCAAAAGATTACAAACCCTTTTCTACTAACCCATTAGTATGGAAGAAGATACAGGATGTGGAACACAGTTAGTATGGAATTGGGAAAGTCTCTCTTCCCAAAAACAAATTGATTTTCTTCCAAGTTGGTGAAACATTAATATATTCAGTCCATATTCTTATTTGCATATTTTTATTTGAAAGTACACACACAATTTCATAACACTGGTTAGTTTTGGGGAGAGCAACTGGGTGACTGAGGGACTATCCTTTTTATACTATTTGAACTTTAAAACAACATTTCAAAAGTTAATATAATTAAAAATTTTAAATGTGATCTGTAGTCCTGGAGGCTTAATTAATGACTAGGACTGATTTTTAAAGATTATGTCACTTCCCTGTTCAAAAACTTTCACAGAATCAAAGGAAGAACTATAAAAAGGTATATTCAAAATAATTAGGACACTATCTTAAATAAACCAATTCCTCCCACGCCAGTGGGGGTTGGGAGCAGGGTGTAAAAAATGAAACTTTACAGAGATTTTCTCTTTAGATTTTTTCAGAATTTAGGCTACCTAATCTTGACAACTTGATGCTTTACATAGAAAATACTATTATACACAAAATGTTTTAATAATAATCTCTATATTATAAAAATAAAAGATTTGTAAAAAAATATTCCAGGAGACAAAAGAGTGAATAGTCCCTTGGACTGAACTTTAGGAACAGGTCTTGATTGATTTAGAGTGGCTTTTTGGTTTGAACAGGTCTTATCTCTAAAGGTATGTCTACAGAACCATTGGCATTTCATTATTGTATGTTTTTCCTGCTCTTTCCAAGGTCCAGCACTGTTGAATGTGGTCTGGACAAACCTGCCTTTTGCTCTGGGTAACCAGGATGTAATTTATTGATCACCCTGAGGTAATAGTTAAGAGTTCATGTGCAGAGAATGAAAAACAGTGACTAAATTATATTGAGTATAGTATTGTGACCAAAATGGAAAAGAATAAACTTTTTGATGTTTTTATCTTGTTGAACAAAGACAAAAATAAGCTCAATGACTCCCATTCCACAGTGAACTACATTAGTCGGGGAGTTTTTATCTTCATTATTGTTTTCTTCTTAGATTATTATGTTAAATATTCCTGTTGTCAGGCTATTGATTCACTTCTTATATAAAGTTATTTGGTTTTCAGAAGAGCATATGACCTCTTTTTTAGGTCGGAAGGAAACAATAACATTTCTAGTTACTATGTCACTTCCCTTATAATATCACACATACTCTCGCGTGTCACCAGAAGCCACAACCTTGTGAACTACTTGGAAACTCTGCCCAATGGCTTAATGCCATTTGCTGAGTCTGTTTAACTTCATTTAAAGGCTTAAATGTCTGTTAGAAAGGGCCTTGTTTATTTATTCTTAAATATTTCCCCCAAGACACGTGATAAAATAATTTCAACTATGTAAAAAGAGGAATCTAAGTAGACGATCCAGTATCAATAGAAATGACAACCTGTCAGCTAATCTAAGGGGTTTATGTACCAAGAAAAGAAGGAACCTAGGAATCTGCACAAGGAGGAAGTTCCCTGTGCCCCCACATGAATTAATAATTCACAAATGAATGACTAAATGGCATCCCAGCAGTGCAGAGAAGCAGTGATTCACCTTCTCAGTTATGCCTAATCTCAGTGCAGTGGTTGGCTTATTCAGGCAGGATTCTTCTCATGACTCACTTGGGTTTACATACTTAGAGCATATAAACAATAAGTCACTGATTGCTTTTAGATCCCCCCAGCCCCCAATTTCTGGACCAAGGAACAAATGGAGTATTTATCCAGGGCATTGACTTACAGAGACAGCAGTGAAAATCATGTTTATAGCACCAACTCCAATGGTTGCATACACAGGTTTGCTGATACCAGCCGTCTGAAAAATGCTGGTTGAGTAGTAAAAAATCTGCAAAGTAAAAACAGTTTAGCCTTAATCTTAATCAAAAAGTCTGACATTAATGTGTTTAAAGCAAGAAATATTTTAGATTATTTTTAGTTGTTTCTATGACGCCATGCTCCCTAGAACTTCCTACAGATTTTCTCCTTCCAAGGAAGATAACCCTCAGTCTTCCTTTAGTGTTTAAAGCTTCTGATTGCTTAAATGTCCTCTTTATATTTAGCTGAAAACTCTGCTACTGCATTTTCTTTATTTGTTAAAATAACTTGAAACGTTTTGTTAAAGTATACTATATATAGAAAAGTATGCAGAAATATGCAGCTCAATTAATTTTCACAAACTGAACACACTTGTGTAACTAGCACCCAGCTCAAGAGATAATTTCCAGCCCCCTGGAAACTTCTTACATGTCCCTGTATCATTTATTCAAAGGAAACTACTCTTCCAATTTCTGACATCATAGATAAATTTTGCCTCCTTTTGTACTTCATGTAAATGGAACCAAATAATATATATCATTTTGTGCTTGGATTCTTTAGTCAGCATCACCTTGGTGAGAATCATGCTTATTATGTGTTGTGGACATTATCATTACCATGTAGTATTTCATTGTATTAATATACCACGGTTGCTACTATTCTACTATTGATGAGTATTTAGGTAGCTGCCATTCCTAAATGAATAATTTACTATTCTTTAGGCTGTCAGAAATCCTAAATTCAATACTCAACTCTAGAAGCCACTTGCAATTTAGTTTTATTGTGGCTGTGGGGGGGTATAATTATTCTTTTCCCTTCCTTTTATTTATTATGATTTTTGCCATTTGTGTTCAGCTTAATATTAAATAGACATATAATACCACTGACTGTTGACATTTTAAAAAACTGTAATTTTAGAAAACTTTTGAAGCAAAACAAAAGTTAATGCTCACTCAGTACATGTGTGTTGTAGCAAGACACATGATGCCAACATTTTAAAATGTCTTAGCTATTGATTATGAATAGTGATTATGAATAGTGCTGCTAGGAACATTCTAGTACAGTCTTTTTGGTGGAATATGTATGCATTTATAACTAGGTATAGAATTGCTGGACCATGGTGTAGGCATATGCTCAACTTTGATAGACATTGCCAAACAAAAACTGTTGGCAAACAGTTTTTGAAAGAGGTTATGACAATTTTACAGTCTCACCAGCATGTATAAGAATTCTAGTTGCCACTGCATGTAATCCAAAAAATTTCACTAGTCTCAGTAGATATGGATAAATGTTGTTCACAATCTAGCAGCCTTTTAAAATTTAGTTATGTTTATGTATTTGTCATAGCCTTCTAGGTCATTCTGTTATCCATCATCCTTTGCCATTTCGTCCCCACCTAACATGTCCTATTGCTGGTGCCTCTTTCTGAAGACAGGTCTGAGGTAGAGGACTGTGCCGACTATGTTCAGTGCATAGAAGCTTACAGCACGCTTCACACTATCCCACCATTTTTAGGCTACCCAACAGCCTCAGGTCCAACATTTCCTGGATTCCTCTTTAAGTCAGGCACTGGGATGGAAGCTGAAACAGTAAGGTTCAGAGAAATTAAATTTTGTGCCATTGGATATACAGATAGAGCTGAGATACGGGATGTGATTTTGGTCTCTGAGCCTCAGACTTATACAGAATATTCATAAAAATAAACATCAAGGACTTCAAGGAGGTTGGGGACCACAGTGGAGTTTGTGGAGTGAGGTTCAGATCTCATTTTGTTTCAATGGATGGAAATTACTTTCTTTGCCTCCCCCAAGTGTCTACCCATCTTTCAATCAGCCCCAAAGTGTCCCATGTGGATTCGGCATTGGCGCACTACAGCAAATGTCCAATTTACATTTTTAACAGCAACAAAAGGGGACAAGTTGTTTTCATTATCTAGTTTCTTAACAAATGCTTAATTTTTTCCTCTAGTAGTCAATTGCCAGTAGAACCACCTTAGTCTGCATGATGCAGAGGTTTCAGTATAAGATCTAAAAGCTAGCTAGTTTAATGCTCAGTGTGTTTTTCAATCATGTATTGTCTACTATCCTTAGTCATCAATATCATGCCAGTTTACTCTATTATTTATTTTGTGTGCTATCTCCCCAAATGGAGTGAAAGTTTCTTGGATGGTAGGAAACTGCTCTTTGCACCTGGCTATCTGGGATACTTCATTTAAATAGATAAAAGGAATCATGGACTCCATTTGGCTTGGGCTATCAGAAATCCTAAATTCAATATTCAACTCTAGAAGTTCCTTGCAATTTTGGGTAGTGTGTCATATTAATTACTCTCCTTTTCCCTTCCTATATTTATTATGATTTTTACTTTTTGCCTTCACCTTAATAGATATGCAGTACCATTGACTGTTAACATTTTAAAAGATTGTGAAGTAATTTTAGAAAACTTGTGAAGTGGCTGTGCACGGTGGCTCATGCCTGTAATCCCAGCACTTTGAGACGTGAGGTCGGGAGTTTGAGACCAGCCTGACTGATGTGGGGAAACCCCGTCTCTACCAAAGATACAAAATTAGCTAGGCTTGGTGGTGCGTGCTTGTAATCTCAGATACTCTGGAGGCTGAGGCAGAAGAATCACTTGAATCTGGGAGATGGAGGTTGTGGTAAGTCGAGATCATGCCATTTTACTGCAGCCTGGGCAACAAGAGCAAAACTCCATCTCAAAAAAAAAAAAAACCAAAAAACAAAAAACAAAAAAAAGGAGAGAAAAGAAAAAAACTTTTGAAGCCAAAATGAAAATTAATGCTCACTCAATATATGTTTGTTGTAGCAAGACACATGATGCCAATATCTTAAAATGTCATTTAGCTATTTAAACTTGAACCTTCTTGCCCTTCCTACCTTAGTTTACTGTGTTCTTAAGAGTTAGTGGGCATTCTTAAACTTACCCCATTGATTCCGGAAAATTGCTGAGCCATGTGCAGCATCAGTGCCACTAGAATAGGCTGTCGGTAGTTAGAATTGGTGAAAAGCTGAATTATAGAGACTTTCTGCTCTCTTGATGCCTCTTCTCTTTCTTTTCTCATTTCATTAATGTCTTTGGTGACATCATCATATCCTCTGAGTCTTTTCAAGCCTGTCCCAGAAAATGATCAGGTTGAAACAACTCAGGTCAAAACAAAAATAAATTTATTTTTATGTTAAGGAAAGAGCTACATTTCTGCATGCCCCTTTTTCTTACTTAATAGCATGGGTGATGGAAGTTCTTTTTGTTAAATTAAGTCCTGCTCTTTGATCTAAAAGAAAAGCAGAACATTTGGCCTCATGTTCTGAGAAATAAAACTATGATCCTCATTATGTAAGAAGCATAATCCTGGAGAGATCTTTTAGAAACCTCTGGTTGAGTCCAGTGCCCTGTATGTGGACTTCTGGCTTGGGCGTAGGTGAAGGCCTATGGGTGCAAAATGACATGTACCAGTCATATAATGTGGTTTTGCACATTCTTCTTACATTTAATCACCACCTTCACGTGGAAGGCACTGTTTTACATTATATACATGCACACTGTTTTACGTTAGCTGATAATGCCGAAACAACAGGAAGACGGAAAAACCATCCACAGACTTACTTTTCTTTGCTTTGACTTCCTCATCTAACTTGATGTAAAGGTATCTGGGGCTTTCTGGACAGAAAAAGAGTAGCACAGACTGAAGGATGGCTCGCACAGCAGACAGGCCGAGCAGGATATGCCACAGATCGTGATTGCCCAGGATAAATTCAAGACCAACAATCTGAAAATGCAAGGAGGAAGCATATCAGCTACACAATACTTCGGGTCTACCTTTCCCACCAATTTGTTGAAAAAGTACTTTGGCAATTTAATAGTAGTCTCTGACAACTTTGGTTCAAGTAAGCATAAGACAGAAACTGTTATTGTTGTGTCTCACCTTAACTAAATGAAGAGCTATTTGTTATATGAGAAATTCACCTAGATTTGTCTTCATTAACTACAATTGAACAGTCAGGGTGAGAATCAACCAAGCTTAAACAAAAATACCTATTTGATATCTAAAGCAACACATAGCTGTATTCTCCAGGCAACGAGATAGAATAATACTGTGTTAAAATTAGCCACAACTTTGGACCTTTGCTTGATATTTCCCTTCTTATATTACCCAGAACTTAAGTAGAAAGGGTTTTCATAGATAGAACAATTACTGTGATAAGAGCTATCTTGGTGATTCCTATGGCAATAGTTTATAGACTACCCTCTGGATTGTCATAGGCATGGGGTCCCAGACTCCCTCTGACACCATGGGGTAGAAGGGAAGGATAGACCCAGCTGATCAGATGCTCCTGTGGCAATCACTTACATGTCAGATTCCCAAGTAAGATGCTTAAAACAAGGGAAACCCAGGCAAGCAAACACTTGAAGTTTTCTATTTCTTGAAACCTAAATGGAATAATTTAACTCTAGAATAGCTCTGAAGTTAAGACCTGGTTTGCCAGGTCACCCCCGGTGCTATCCACCAACAATTCCAAGGGGGAAAAGTGAGGAGTGATAATCATTTACCTTTCAACTAAAAAGTCTATGTCTGTATACCACTTCTGCTACCACTGGTAGAATTGGCTTTTCTCTCTGTGCTGGTCTACAGTGAGAGTGGACTATCAGGGAGGGAGAACATGGATGAAGTGGAGGTGGTACAGTAGAGGATGCAGTAGAAGTAGTACAGTAGAGGATGAAGCAGATGAGTACAGTAGGGGATAAAGATGGGGGGTTTTTACCTGACTAACAAGAATGCCTGTGACAATGGCCAGCTGATGCAAAGTGCCAAGCGCGCCCCTCAGACTGGTTGGAGCAATTTCACCAATATACATAGGAACCAGGCCTGAGATTAGCCCTGCATGAAACATGAACATAAATGTTAACGTGCAACCAGGACCATATGAGTAACAACAATTTGGTTTAAGTTCAGTACATATCTGGAATGAAAGCCCCTTTCTGAGTTCATTGTAAGGATGAGCCCTTGTTCCTAGGTATAGATGTAGTTTGTGCAAGAGGTATTTGATATGACCCCAAATGCAGTTGTAGTTGGAAATATGAATAGAAAGAAATGCTTAGTCATGTATTTTGCAGTTCTTCATGACATTGTCTTATTTAATTAAAATTCATGTTAATTTTTAGTTTACACTATAAAACCTTAGGTTGTCTTCAGAAAAGAAACTGAAGAATGTTTTAGTAATATTCTTAATCAGGGCTCATGGGACTACAGGACATCAGAAAATATCTCCACCAGCTTCTTGATAGAGGTGAGAAACAACTTTCCAAAGATCACAAGCAACAGAGCATTAGTGTGAGAACTACATGCCCTATCTGAATTTCCACAATGTCGAGTGTCCTCAAGACCACAGTTAAGGTGGTGATGAGGGGTGAAGGGAGGTGCAGAGAGGTAGAAGAGGTTAGGGGTCTTAAGGACTCTTCCCCAGTTAGAAATCAGAGAAACTCAGCTTCTTTATTCTATTCAAATATTAGGCTTCAGAAAATATAAAATTTATATGATGAAAGACTTTTGGTACTTAAACGAATACAAAACATTTACAAACACTAGGTCATTCTGCCTTCTGAAGCTTTCTTAAATGCACATGTACTCTATCATGTTGGAAATGGTGGAATGACCAGCCATTTGCTGATTGCATAAAAAGTTCAGAGATCATCAATAGGTAAGTCTGAATTAAATATTTGGCATTTTCTTAAATATTTAAAAATAGGATTTGCAGAGGCTTCTTCTTAGAAACTACCTGCCTATCAAATTGAAATGAATGATCTTTGTGTAAAAGACGCTTTGGCAATTGTTTCCAAAACATATTTTTTAATGCTTTGAATTGGTCTTATTTCACAAATGAACATTTATTTATATGTGTGATATGGCATCTATATTTCAGCTGAATTTTACAGGTGACTTTTAATGTATAGCCTGTTGATCTTAAGACAAAAAATCATTTATTTGGCCTTATTCTAAGTTGTATTAACTTTCTGTAGTACCTAATACTATACCTTAAGAACAGAATAATGTAGATAAGCTCACAGGTCTGAAGTCACATGAACCTGAAGTCAAATTATATTTCCTATAATTTTTAGGAACTTTAACATTCAGAATAGGGCCAAACATAATTTTAGAAGATGGTTGGGGAGTACAAGTTAGTTGACTATGCTAGTTATAGGTTGTTTTACAATATGCTTGTAGTATTTATTTTTAATTTTACCAAAAACATTTCATAATTTTTTTCACACTGTATTTTTTTAAATGAAGAGAAAAGAAAGAAGAGGAATTATAATTGGGACTTCGTTCATAGTGTGATTATCTGCATTTTATGGGAGAAGAAGCTGAGGCTCAGATTTGATATTTAAGGCCATGCAGAGACAGTGCCAGAATTGATTTGCTCTGAATCCAAAGCTCTTTCCATATTTGGGGTTGACTATTTACCTTGATAAAGCTATACTGGCCTTCATTATTTGTATTAATGTTGAAAATAATAAAAAGATGTTTAATTAGGCTGTTAACTTGGCATTTCACACTTTTACTTCAACTGGTCATTGAAGATACATGGAATTAAAGTCTTTTCTGTAGGTGAAAGTGTTAAAAATTCTTTTATATACAAATCCTATGTCCTCAGCCCTCCTTCTCCATCCCCATGGATAGAAATGCCTTGAAAAGCACTAGGATTTGTGAAAGTGGGTTAAATCTCAACCTAGCACCATCAAAATCAGAGCTTCATTGGCAGAAGTTAAAGATTTAGCCATTTGATTTAGAGACTGAATGATTCTCCCTTTAGTAAACCACATTCCCTAGCCCTGTACCATTTTAGACATGACTGAGTGAAGCAATAAAGTGATAGTGTCCATAGGGAGAGGGAATCAGATAGAAGCAGCTGGTATTTAAAAGTTCAGAATAAAGGGAGGCGGTTCCTCCCATGAAGTTTAGAGATTGAATGATTCTCCTTTTGTTCATAGTTTGTCTGCTATTGAATTGAATGATTCTCCTTTCGTTCAGACGTCTGCTATTTGCCTCTGAATGTTTGAAAAGCTGTCTCTAAGAACTAGCGACTCCCACTATTCAGAATGAACTTCACAGGAGGAACCTCCCTCCTTTATTCTGAACTTGTAAACACCAGCTGCTTCTGTGTGATTCCCTCTCCTTACGGACACCACCACTGTAATGCTTCACTCTGTCATGTCTAGAATTGTACAGGGCTGGGGAATGTGGTTTAGGAGATGGGTTCAGAGTGTTAAGGTCTCGTCAGATAGAAGAGATGGAGACACAGCAGCCAGGTAGTCCATAAGCGCAGAATTAAAGGTCTTGGTATAGCCATCTCCCACTGTCTGCTGTAATCACAGCAGTAATAACAACAGCTAGCATTTACTGGTAGCTTACTGTAAATGTGTTCTCACAATTACCCTATAAGGTAGATATTATTATCCACTTCATTTAATAAATGAAGAATCAGAGTTAAATAATTTGTCTGTGATCATGCAACTAGAAATGATGTCGTTGCCATGGACAAGAACCTTGATAGCACCATAATTCCTACTCACTGGTCCCAAATTCCCCTGACTCAGGATTTCAACTTTATGCTATTGCTTTTCCCTCTGTGATGTCACCCTAGACTCAAAAATATCCCTGAATGTTACCACATCTGCCTGCAGAGTTACTTTCAGACAAAGGGGGGAGAGAGAGAGAGAGAGAGAGAGAGAGAGAGAGAGAGAGAGAGAGAGAGAGAGAGAGAGAGAGAGAGAGTGTGTGTGTGTGTGTGTGTGTGTGTGTGTGTTTATGACTTACCACAATATAGTCCTGATATGCTTCTTCCAGCAATTATAAGTATATGAGATGGCCCCAATTTTGAAAACCCCATCAAGAGAGCTCCGACTAATGAAAGAATGTTTGCTACTAACATGGCTTTGATTCTGAAATTTTAAAAAAGCAAAGATTATAAATTCAGCATCAAAACTTGCTAAAGCTGTTTGCTTTCAGAGCATGTTGAGATTTTTTTAAGAGCAATTATTTTAATTTTGTTATAAAAGCTACTTGGGGAATTTTGAACCAAGATTGCTAATATGATTCATCTGTGGACTAAAGTATTAATAATAAGCAATATTTATGATAAGAGAACTAGGTTGTATCCACCTGATCTTTATTTTGAGACAGGGTCTTACTTGCTCGGTCACTCAGCTGGAGTGCAAAGGCACGATCATGCTTCATTGCGTCCTTGACCTCCCAGGCTCAAGCCTGATCTCTACATTTTGACAGAGATGATTCAATCATGGTGATGGCTAGCTTAAGATAACATTTCTGACAGTTTTTCAAAGGGTTAACTACAAGTTGGTTGTTGTTTTTTTTCTTTTTTGAGACGTTTTGTTGCCAGGCTGGAGTGCAGTGGCGCAATCTTGACTCATTGCAACCTCTGCCTCCCAGGTTCAAGCGATTTTCCTGCCTCAGCATCCCAAGTAGCTGGGACTACAGGCATGTGCCACCATGCCCAGCAAATTTTTATATTTTTAGTAGAGACAGGGGTTTCACCATGTTGACCAGGATGGTCTCGATCTCTTGACCCAATGATCCGCCCACCTCGGCCTCTTAAAGTGCTGGGATTATAGGCGTGAGCCACTGCGCCTGGCCCAGGTTGATTATTTTAAAGAATAATTGTCTGGTGATAGCTAAATTCAGTTCTGTAGTTGTAACCTACAACTTTTTTATTCTTTCAATGGTACAGGTTTTTAATTGATCTAGATAGAAAAGGAACTTTCAGAGTTAAATTTCCTTTTATATAAATTATTTGGAAGTAATTTAAAACATCTTTTACTTTAAGCCTTATCATAGAAAATTATAATTATCTTTATTTTAACATTGTATGCCAGCATATTTCCAAAATCTATAAATTGATAGTCATCAAGGTAAAAGACATAATAGAGGTAGCAACCAAAACACTTTCAAAATTAATCAGATGAAAATTACCAACATTTGCAGACATCTGTTACTTTTATTCCTAATTAGTGAGAAAGTGAGGTACACAAGCAGATAATGATAAGGCCAATAAATGTCTGACTAGACAGGTATGAAAATGTTTGTGCCAAAAGAAATGTCAACACCCTTGTTATATTCTATTTCACTGCTTCAAACTTCGATAGGTGGGCTTTTTCTATGCAAGTATCTTTAACACCAAACAGATTTTTTTTTTCTGGAACATGAAACTATAAAGTCACATACTGCAGTGATTGTGTAACAGCCACATGATAGGCCACATAATGTCCCCAGTAGCCTACAGTCTAATCCCCAGACTCTGTAAATGTTACCTCACACGGCAAATGAGATTTTGTCCATGTGATTAAGAATCTTGAGATGGAGAGATTATCTTGAATTATTTGAGTGAATCCAATGATGTAATCACAAGTGTCCTTATAAAGGTAAGGCAGGCGGAAGAGGAGAAGGTGATGCGATGGCAGAAGTTGAGATTAGAATGTTGTGCTTCAAAGATGGAGGAAGGGCCCACAATCCACAGAACTATAGTTTGTCATTACAAGCTGGAAAAGGGCAAGGAATGCATTCTTCCCTCAGAGCCTCCAGAAGGAACCAGCCTTATTGACAGTTTGACTTTAGCTAACTAAAACTGATTTTGGAGTTTGGCCTCCAAAACTGGAAGAAACCATATTTGTGTTGTTTTAAACCACTAAATTGGCGGTCATTCATTACAGCAGCAATATGAAATGAGTGTAAGGAAACTATTAGCTACTTAAACTCAAGGGAAACAGAGTGATTTAGAGCTGGCTAACCCCAGAGCTACAGAGTAGAAAAACAGTTAAGGGGTGTTTAGTAGTTTAGACTATTGTGAAATGCTTTTTATCTACACAGGGACAGAGGACAGGCAAATTCAATAATTTACCTTAACAAGTTGTTACCACCTAGCTAATAGTCTCTTTTATTAGGGGGAAAAAAGATTAAAAGTCATAAAAGAAATAGCCTGGAAGAATCTTTGGTGCCAGATTGCTCTAAAGTCCCTTTCCCTACCACCAAAGGATACTGGAGCACTTTACATAATTTAAATTCTTTTAATGTCTGTTCAGATATGAAAAATGGCCACAAATAAATAATTTAAAAAATACATGAACTAGCTGAATCAGGGAAAAAGAAACTTGATTTTACCTAAATACTTGTCTTAAAATCTGACTCTAAATACTTCTGATAGTAGAGGCTTCATTATTGTCATGGTCATTGTCATCATTATCATAATCAAAAAGGCCACGTTTGCTGTTTGCTTAATATATGTCATTCATTGTGTTAAACCTTTTATATTTGTTCTCATTAAATTCTCACAAAAATGCTGCAAGGTAGGTCTTATTATTTTTCTCACATTGCAGATGGGAGGTAAACAGCTTAGAGAACCTAAGTAACTTGCTCATTTTCATACAGCCATTAAGTGATAGGTCTTGGACATGATCCGTGTGACACCAAAGGGTAATGCTTCATTTTAATGCATTCCATTTTTGATAGAAAAGAATGCATGCATTCAAAGGCAAGCTACACATATCTTCTTATACTCATGGTAGTGTGGATTGCGCAGACCATGTTCTTCTCTACCATACCCTGCTAATTAAATTGTAAATGTAAAGCTTGGAAAAACTGACCTTGCAAACCCAAAAGTATAAAATGGTAGTCACAGACATCTATTGACATCTATTACACAACTGCAAGGAGATTTTTTTTAAAAGCAATAACGGCAGTACTACATTTTTATTTACTTTTAACTGATGGATAAATTGAGACTGGTAAAAATGAAAATCATGTCACTTCTCAATGAATCTCTCTAGAAAGATAATTTTATGGGGGATACTGATAACTTTTGGCCGAATTTTGATGTTGAAATTATGAACTTTTGGGCTGGTTTTCTTTTTTTTTGAGATGGAGTTTCGCTCTTGTTACCCAGGCTGGATTGCAATGGCGTGACCTCGGCTCACCGCAACCTCCGCCTCCTGGGTTCAGGCAATTCTCCTGCCTCAGCCTCCCAAGTAGCTGGGATTACAGGCACATGCCACCATGCCCAGCTAATGTTTTGTATCTTTAGTAGAGACGGGGTTTCACCATGTTGACCAGGATGGTCTCCATATCTTGACCTCGTGATCCACCCGCCTTGGTCTCCCAAAGTGCTGGGATTACAGGCTTGAGCCACCGCGCCCGGCCTGGGCTGGCTTTCAAGGAGGAGTATTTTTCTACTAAAAGCTAAAAGAAACCTCACTTTTTGTTTACCATAGGTCATTTGATACATGGTCATTTGACGTTGTTTTGGGGTAAAACCATTGTTGATGCCAAATCCTGAGATTCAGAGGTTAAGTATTTGGGCTCCATTAAATGTTAATGGTAACTAAATGTTTTAGGGTAAGTCACTGAACTTGTCAGAATCTTATCTCTAAATGAGGGGCAACCAGCATTTACATTTTTTGTTCAGGAATGAGAAGTAGTATAAAATATCAGTAGTTGCTAAATGATTTGTTCATATTCTAAAATGTAATTTAATTTTACTTAATTTGATTTACTTTATTTAAAACTTTTAAAGAATTATTTTTTCTTTTTCCTTTTGTCTGAATCCACTTACTAGAAAACAATTTACTTTAGAAATAGAAAATTAATCTAGAGAATTCTCCATTTACTACTTAAACCAACTCGATGCACTTTGAAATTATTTTTAATTTTTGTGAAATTTAGTTTATCAATCTGTATTTTACAGATTCTTATTTAAACTTCAACTGAACATCAGCAAGTTGATTAAAATGTAAGAAATTGACCACTGTTTTTTATGGTGGAGAAAACTCCTTTTCAAATAAGAATAATAGTAAAACTTGGGTTACCATGATATTGTATTTAAGAAAACTTATAGTCATTTTATATAAAAACTCCAGTGTAAGAGGAAGCGTTATTAGAATTTTAATAACCAGACAGCTAAAAGTTATAATTTATAGTAGGAACTGAAAAAACTAAGTGAATTGTAATCTAGAATTAAGTTAGTTGCCTGAATTGTTATTTATATCTTTAAAGGCATTTTCATTTTCTAAATTTTTCATGTTTGACATGTTATTTTTATCATAAGAAAAATGAATCTACAAAAGCTGGACTCAAAGAGGAGAGAATAAATCTAAAAATTAATAATTTGATATTCTATTTCTTCTCTATATAGGGTGGGAAATCCCAACAGCTTTAGTACATTGCATAAATAAATAAAATTTGAGGGTAAAGGAGTTCCACTGATATTTTTAATCTAAAAAATTTAATAGAAACCCAAGTTATCATATACACCATGGAATACTATGCAGCCATAAAAAAGGATGAGTTCATATCCTCTGCACGGACATGTATGAAGCTGGAAACCATCATTCTCAACAAACTAACACAAGAACAGAAAACCAAACACCACATGTTCTCACTCATTAGTGGGAGTTGAACAGTGAGAACACATGGACACAGGGAGGGGAACAACACAGCCTGTCAGGGGTTGGGGGCTAGGGGAAGGATAGCATTAGGAGAAATACCTAATGTAGGTGACAGGTTGATTGGTGCAGCAAACCACTATGACACATGTATACCTACGTAACAAACCTGCACATTCTGCGCTTGTACTCCAGAACTTAAAGTACTGTTTTTTTAAAAAAAAAAAACCCAAGTGATAAATGGAGATACTCTTGGCTTCATCTCTGGTTGGGGCTTTGAGATAGCAAGCAGTACCAGCAGCCAGAAACCGCATACCAAGTACGTTGAGCAACTGGGAGTCGGGAATATTGACTGAACCTTTGGACTTAACTGATCCAAATGCCAAATTCTAATATAAAAAGGAAAAACTGGGTGTATGAGAAACTGTGATTTGGTGAAGCAAACGGTAGACTCCCAGGTTAAAAACTCTAATTAGTCTCTTCTCCTAAGTTTCTGAGTTAACTGTTCATGTAGTGGTTTTCTAGTACATTTTATAACTTAGAAAGCTAGAGGATCAAAGCAATTATCTAGAAATACACACAAAACTCGCATTTGCTGTAAATGTCTGAACAATTAACCAGACTGTTGCAACAGCTCTTTTCATTGATTTGATCTAACATTGATTTGCCTCATAGGGTCATAAGTTGAAAAACAACTCTAAAACTATCCTGCAAGAAGAAAGATAATATTTTCCTAAACAAATGTTAACAAAATGAAAATACGAACATTTCTGTTTATGCTTATTTATGAAATTTGCCTACCTTCCAAGTGTGTCCCCAAGCCACCCACCAAAGAATGATGCAATCATTCCACCAACTGCAAAGCTGGATACAGACAGGGACCAGAACATGGTGATTAGGTTAGTAGCTGCCACAGTCTCTTCCTCAGTCCAAGGGGTTGGTTCTGGGCTCATTGAGTATGGGATTGTGGGAAGTTCATCTGTACTGTTGATAACATAGTTGTTGATAGCTTTTCGGTCATCCAGTGGAACACCCAAAACATGTCTATAGTGAGATATTATTGTCTACGAGATAAAGAAAAATAGCTTTACTATTTCAAACATTCTATGTATTTTTGTTTGTTTTGTCTTTAAAGTGTTTGTTACATATTTAAATAGTACCATCTCAATTATGAGTTTTATATATGTATAAACATGGATAGATTGGTTTACAGTTGGCCATTTCCTATAAAACAGAGATCACAAATTCCATTGCCACCCAGAACCAGGCAGGAACAAATAAATGAAGGAAACATGTAATACTTTGATGACTAGAGGACTAAGATACATTTTCTACTATTTGGGACTAGTAGGGAATGGTCAGGATTGTAGAACTGGAGCGTATTTACCCCACCTAAAGGAGAAAGCTGCAAATGTGAAACTGGTGTGGAGTGACCTTTACTTTTTTAACAGAAAGTCAGAAATCTGCATTTTTATGCAAAATTTTTCAAGTTTTAAATATTCGCAACTATTGAACTTGAAACTATTTTGCAGGCTAGGCTGGGCGTGGTGGCTCACACCCATAATCCCAACACTTTGGGAGGCCAAGGTGGGTGGATCGCTTGAGCTCAGGAGTTTGAGACCAGGCTGGGCAACATGGTGAAACCCCATCTCTACAAAAAATACTAAAAATTACCCGGGCATGGTGGCACACGCCTATAGTCCAAGCTACTTGAGGGGCTGAGGCAGGAAGATTGCTTGAGCCTGGGAGGTTGAGGCTGCAGTGTGTCAAGATGGAGCCACTGTACTCCAGCCTGTGTGACGAGGTAAGACCCTGTCTCGAATATATATATATATATATATATATATATATATATATATATATATATATATATTCTGCAGGCTAAAAAGATACATTTTTATGCTAGTGCTACCTCTGCACAGCAGGATTTAAATTGACTTATAGAAGTATTTTAATAGAAGCATAAAAGTGGATATAAGAAAAAAGACTGGGAAAGATAAGATGAGGGTCAAAAATAAAGTTAGCATACAGAATTCAAACACCAGGTAGTGTTTCTTTGTTGGAAGTGAGCTATACATTTACCAGGAAACTTCCTAGCTGCCAGGGCAAAAAGAGGAAAACAACCAAGAATATTATTGACGAATTCCAAAGACAACCAACAGGAAGTTAGTGGCCCTTGAGAAGGTATTGAGACCTGAAGGAAGTTCCTCCTGTGGGTCCTCATAGAGTTAAGTGTATAACACAATGAACAACATGGAAAACTAAATTTCATGGAGCTATATTTTGTGATGTGCTTCAGTAGGGTCCAATTATACCAAAGTATAATTGAGTAAAAGGCCATCGTCCTCCCATGTCATTGCTCTAAAAGATGATTTGCTCACTGTTTAGCATCAGTGAGCTGGGAGAGTACTCTCTGAAAGGACCTGAAATGCAGCTGCTCTGGGTTACTAGTTACAGGTAAGGCTCATTTGGTAATGCCAGCTGAGTTAGGGGAAGAATCGAGCATCCTTTCATGAAAGAAGTCTGATCAAGACATTTGCTTCGCGCCAGACATGGTGGCTCACGCCTGTAATCCCAGCACTTTGGGAAGCCAAAGTGGGTGGATCACTTGAGGTCAGGAGTTCGAGACCAGACTGGCCAACATGGTGAAACCCTGTCTTTACTAAAAATACAAGAAATTACCTGGGCATTGTGGCTGGAGCCTGTAATCTCAGCTATTCGGGAGGTTATGGCAGGAAAACTGCTTGAACCCGGGAGGCAGACATTGAAGTGAGCTGAAATCACATTGCTGTATGCCAGCCTGGGTGTCAGAGTGAGAGTCTGTCTCAAAAAACGAAAACTAAAACATTTGCCTCACTAGAAGGCTGCCTTATATGAATAATATGCGTAGACAAAAAAAAAGCTGGAAGGAAATATCCAAAATGTTCTCAGCAGTTTGCTCATTCAGGTAGAATAATTATGGGTAATTTTTTTCCTAATACTGTCTTCAGTAGGCATGTGTCATTTTCATAACCATTTGAAAGTGTGATTTTCAAATCCTTTCAAATAATCCCAAATGTCATTCAGCCAATAAAAAAAATAAAGGGCTTAAAAAATCATTCTTATTAAATGGTGTTTCAGCCACTCCTTAAACACAGAAGGAAGGGTTTATATATAGAGAGGGCACCAACCTGGATGCCAGTATGGGAATCACTGTTTTCAGTGCTGGCTCTGGGACTTGGATTGAAGGAGGTGAAACCTTAGCCTAAACTTGCCTCTACAACTGCAGGGGATGGTTTAATTTTTTTTTTTTTCTGGAGATGGAGTTTCACTCTTGTTGCCCAGGCTGGAGTGCATTGGCACCATCTCGGCTCACCGCAACCTCTGCCTCCTGGGTTCAAGCAATTCTTTTGCCTCAGCCTCCCAAGTAGCTGGGATTACAGGCATGCACCACCATGCTCAGATAATTTTGTATTTTTAGTAGAGACTGGTTTCTCCATGTTGGTCAGGCTGGTCTCGAACTCCCAGCCTCAGGTGATCTGCCCACCTTGGCCTCCCAAAGTGCTGGGATTACAGGCATGAGTCACTGCACCCGGCCGGGAATGGCTTAATTAATGATGTGATAAGGTCTTCCACAAAAAGGGGAAGGGGCTCTGTTAATCAAGTCGTGGTGATGTTGAACTAAATCCCAGGAAACCTGCTAAATTGGCATGTGTTGTCATTACCCACACAACAGAGATAGGACTCTGGTCTCTTGACCGCCAGCGCTATGCCCTGGGTCTCTCAGCCTGCCACATTCATGATGATTATAGCACCTAATTAGATCACATCTTTCAGCAGGAAGCAGCCCTTTTCAGGTGATGGATTATGGTTAGCACACATTTCACATATCCACCCTGCAGTATCTTACATTTTCCTTGGGGCCCGATGTTCTAAAAGAAGCAGAAGAAATATAATGGACTTATAGAAGGCACCCAGAAATATCTGTCCCTTCAGTTTATGTCACCTCTTCCCCAGGTTCCTTCTCTCTCTCTAATTCACTCCTCTTTATTGAGCACCTTCTTTATGCCAACTACTGTGCTTGGCACCAGTGATAGGAAAAGGAACAATTTATCAGTCCTGCCCTCAATGACCTCACAGTCTGAGTTAGAGCAGAGGGAAATGAGGGCTGTGGGAGCTGAGAATAATATACCTCCCCTGTGTAGTCACTGAATACCAGAAGGGGGATGCACAAAATATGTGAGGAAAATGATTGACGTGATTCGATTAAAAATTCACCCAAATTTAAAAGAAAGAAAGAAAAAAATTCACCCAAATAGTCATCATGGAGAGAAGCCAAACTTTATTGAACTTCTGGAATATTATTCTAAAGTTTTACATCATTTTACTTTGAATCACCCATGGGAGACAGGAATGGTGGGGAAGGTCTATAATCTCTTTTAGTTTAGGGCTTCTTAAGCTTTTACTATAGACTGGAAATGGGCATAATAAGGTTGTTGGGAGGATCCAGTGGGGGGATCCTATTTAAAGCACCTGGTGCAAATAAGTAGGTGCTCAAAACATGTGCCCTGAGTGAAACATATCCTTCTTATTCCCTGGCACTTTTCATTCATGTATGGCTGAGAGCGCTGAATGAATGCTGCAATAAGCTCTTTTTTTTTTCTTAGAAAGTATCCTTCAGCACATGATATTTCTGGCTGGAGTTTTCTGTGAGCTCAGCAAACAGCAGGGTCAGAGATTAAGGAATCTTTATTGCCTCCTTTCTTTGCCCTGCAATTGTTAACTGAGGAGTCAAGGCCAAGTTATCAGCGTTGGAACAATGCACATCATACCTGACAGGCCAGGATAACCGTGTGTCTCCCACGTGGACACCCTTTATCTCTGTGTATGAGGAACATATGATATCTATCCTTGACAGAACTTGCCAAAAAAGAGAACTTATATGTACTTCACTTGCCTGTTGAGGTGCGTTGATCACACCAATGTCATATCCAAACTGGAAGGAACCCAGTGCAGCAGTGACGACAGTGAAAACCAAGGTCCCAGTGACCTGCAGAGGGCAAAACACAGGGCAGGGAGACACCAGGCAATTTTAGTTTCCCATCTCTCTGGCAGGCTGCAGCTTGGATTTCTCACAGGGTTCACAGGCTGTTTCTTTCCCCTCAGTATCAATTTACAGTATGCCCTGTGCTCCTGGCAGGCAGGTGTTGTTTATACAAGAATGTGAGAGCCATCATCATTTCCCATGCACTGCTAAAACTGAAAGAAGTTTGGGACAGCTTCCTCCAGGTGAGGAAACAGACATTCTATTCCATATATGTGTATGACAATAACATACCTCTGCTGTCTGTTCACTGGATACCAGAATAGGGGGAGGCATATAATATATGAGGAAAATGGTTGAAATTATTTGATTAAAAAATCCACCAAAATAGTCATTATGGAGAAAATCCCAACTTTGTTGAACTTTTCATATATGGATTCAGAATCAGGACGGAGAACTAGAATTGCTGCTGATGGAAGGGAACTGCCGGGATAGAAAGTCATTGTATCACTGGGAGCAGTAAAATAAGACACCAGTAATAAAGAGATAGGGAGCTCTTTTGGATGTTGCCATGGTGACAAAACACCTCAGTATTCATATACGAGGCATTAGCTAGTCTGTATCATGTTCTGCATCAACATCTAGGAAGGACACTTTTCAGGACTTGCCTACTTTTCAGTTCAGCCTAGAATTGTAGGATAAAGGACATTATTTTCTCCCCAACTCCATGTAGCTACAATAAAACTGTAGAAAAGGGGCAGAACATTCATCCCCTTGAACTTATATTTACATGTCTAACTGTCTCGGAGAAGTCACGCCATGCATACAGGTACTCAGTGTAGGATTTTTGTGTGTATGTGCATGTGATAGCAAAATTTTAGAAAGAACCCAAATATTCAATGGGAAGTAGTCAGAATTCAGACATATCATAATACAGACATCAGATACATATAATATGCTATGCAGCAGTGAAAGGGATAATATGATTATGTGTACTGACTTACGTTTAAGTGGAAAAGGAAGTTATGTAATCTGATTAATGTTTTGTAAAAGATTTAAACATGAGTTTGTTTGATTAAAAAAATCAGTTACTTGATTTGTGCATGATGTATATAATTTGTAGAATGTTTTCTTGAAGAACAAATGAGTTGATGGTCCTTAAGGAGGAATGTGAGGCTGGAGAAGGAGAGTGAAGGACATTTCTTCTTTATTCATATGCTTAGACGTTTTATAAGGAAAATATTTCATGTGCATTTACATAAATTAAATTTTTGAATAAAAAGCTCAGGTTTTAGTAGGAACTTTGTTGCATAAGTAAGTGAGTCATGTCAACATGGATTCTAGTTCTCACTCTCGTAGTGGGTGTGTGACCCAACAGACGCTTCAGTTTTTCTCTAAATTGTGAGATGATTGTAAATCCCCTTACCCTAATATAAAGCCCTGGTATAAAGAATAGCAAATTGGCCGGGCGCGGTGGCTCAAGCCTGTAATCCCAGCACTTTGGGAGGCCGAGGTGGGTGGATCACGAGGTCAAGAGATCGAGACCATCCTGGTCAACATGGTGAAACCCCGTCTCTACTAAAAATACAAAAAATTAGCTGGGCATGGTGGTGCGTGCCTGTAATCCCAGCTACTCAGGAGGCTGAGGCAGGAGAATTGCCTGAACCCAGGAGGCGGAGGTTGCGGTGAGCCGAGATAGCGCCATTGCACTGCACTCCAGCCTGGGTAACAAGAGCGAAACTCTCAAAAAAAAAAAAAAAAAGAATAGCAAATTAGCCAGGATCCCTCATTACCCTGAAGAGCTGGAGATCAGGAATTTCACCAAGTATCACAGAACCATCCTGGGAGCCCTTGAAATTATTTAGTCCAGTTGTTCTAAAACCAGACCCTACTTGGAGAGCCTGTTACACATGTAGCTTCTTAGAGATAGCCCCAGACCTACTACTGGATTGGAATGTCTGGGGTGGGGATAGGGAATCTGTAGGTTTACAAAACTTCCACCCCTTTCACTAATATAGGGAGTATCTATACAGACTTTCCCTCCTAACAACTTCCTTCTCTGAAAGAAAGGACTTCAAAGTTGACCCAAAAGATATGGTCATATGATACACATGTATTGTCCAAAAGAATAATATGTATGTGATATATAATATTGTATAATATATTTATTAGATATAAATTGGCCATGCATAGTGAATTATGCCTGTAATCCCATCACTTTAAAGGACTGAGATGGGCAGGTGGCCTGACCCCAAGAGTTCGAGACCAGCCTGGGTAGCATAGCAAGACCCCTACAAAAAAGATCTCTACCAAAAAAAGATCTTTACCAAAAAAAAGTAAAAATTAGCAGGACGTGGTGGTGTACACCAGTAGTCCCACCTACTTGGGAGGCTGAGGCAGGAGGATTGCTTGAGCCCCGGAGGTCCATGCTGTAGTGAGCTATGATTGTACCACTGTACTCCAGCCAGGGTAACAGAGCAAGACCCTGTCTCAAAATATATATGTATATTTATTTTGTATATTTATATATCATTTACATCTGATATATATTTATCACTTATATCTTATTTATATATCATTTGTATCATATGTAAGATATATATTAACATTTTATGTTTATTATGCATGAATTACATATTATATAAAATGCATACACATACTGTATGATATATGGTATATGTGATCATGAAAGATTTTGAATTATCCTCTAAAATGTAACTAGACAGCTAAAACTCGGTGGCTCAGATAGCCAAAGCCAAGATGGGGTTTTATTTACTTAGTTGGTAGTTTCTCCTCAAATCCTTTTTCCCCTCAAGCTGTTTCCAAGGATAGAGATTTTCATCCTTTTTACAGAGAGTAGCCATTGTCAGAAGTGAGGGGGTAAGGAGTACCTGGGAGGGCTTTAGCCCACCGCCCTCATACTCTACATCACTAAAATCAGGAAAATCTGATGTGAGATGCAGTACAGACAGATTCAAAGCCTGATACTACTCATGCTATCTGCATGCCTGCTCACCATGTGGATTGTCTCATAATACTTCTTATACTGGTTTTCTGTTGCTGCCCTAACAAATTATCACAATGCAGCAGCTTGAACAACACTAATGTATTGATTTTAAGGTTTAGCCAGGCATGGTGGCTCATGTCTATAATCCCAGCATTTGGGAGGCCAAAGCTGGAGGATTGCTTGAGGCCAGGAGTTAGAGAGCAGCCTGGGTAGCATAGCGAGACCCCCATCTCTGCAACAACAACAACAAACATCTATAGATGAGAAGTCTGGTATAAGTATCACTGGACTATAATCAGGGTGTTTGTACACACAGGCTTGTGCTCCTTTCTGGAGGTGGTCGGAGAAAATTTGGGTTGATGATGGAATTCAGTTCCTCATGGTTATAGGACTAAAGTCTGTCTTTTTGCCCTGGTTATAAACTAAGGGCCATTCCCAGCTCTAGAGGCCACCAAATTTCCTTGGCTACCAGTGCCCTTCTTTCATCTTTATAGCCAGGAATGGGCAGGTCAAGTCCTTCTCATGTTATTACATCTCTCTGGCACTGACAAGTAGCTGGGAAAGTTTTTCCCTTTTAAGAATACATAGGATTAGATTTGACCCATCAGGGTAATACAGGAAAATCTCATATCTAAGTCTAGTAGGTTAATCACATCTGTAAAGTCTTTTGTCACATAAGGCAAGATATTCCGAGGCTCTGGCGATGAAGCTGTGGACATCTTTGGAGGATGATTTTTCTGCCTACCACATTCCTCATGGCAGTACCATTAATAGCCCCATTTTATACATAACTAGATTAGTCTAACATCTCACAGTTAGTAAATTACAGAACAATGACTTGGTTCCAGAGCTTATGCTTTTAACTTCTTGGTGATTTTGGATCCCTCATCAGTCAGATACAGACATTCAAAAGCCATGCACATATGAAAAATCTAGGATCATAATCTTTATAAATAAAAAGCTAAGAGTGGCTGGGTGCTGTGGCTCACACCTGTAATCCCAGCACTTTTGTAGGCAAAGGTTGGTGGATCAACAAATCAAAACCATCCTGGCCTACATGGTGAAACCCCGTTTCTACTAAAAATACAAAAATTGGCTGGGCATGGTGGCACATGCCTGTAATCCCAGCTACTCAGGAGGCTGAGACAGGAGAATCGCTTGAACCTGGGAGGCAGAGGTTGCAGTGAGCCGAGATGGTGCTACTGCACTCCAGCCAGGTGACAGCCAGACTTTGTCTTAAAAAAAAAAAAAAAAAAAGCCAAGAGCATACATATTCACAGAATTTATCACTTGTGGGTGTTTGGCTGTTTGGCTTCAAACACCTAGAAATCTCAAGCGCATTTTCTCATCACCTACCACACAAATCCCTTTCCCCTTACCTTCCAATAGAAACTTTGGTGAGGTCTTTGGACAAAAGTCCAAAAAGGGAAAGCGTATTCAATGCTCATATGTAGCTGAGCTGAAGAAGCTCAGGATCTTCACACCACCAAGCCCAAGACCACAGTATACTTCCCCAATCTCATCCCTGCATCTTCTTTTCTTTTGTGGCACTTGGTTTCTTAGTGACTGCCACCTCCTACTTCATCCCTGGGTTTCTGCTTTCTGGGGGTTCTCTCCCTCTCCTTCTGCCAGAAAAACATACAATTTATTTCTTTTTTAAGTGTCCAGTCAGAAGCCATGCTAAGGGTGAGCAGGGGCAACACAGAAATTGAAGTTGGGGTGATAGCGATAGCTGCAGCAGACTTACTTCCTGTCATCTCCATTAGTTCTCCCCTGTCACTTTAAATGCACAGCCTAAGTCCCAGCTGTGTTAACTGTTCCCACATTACTTTGACAAAAATAAAAGTTAATTTTTAAAGATGCTGGAGACCCCATCCTATTCCTTTCCAATCAAATTGTTCTAAGTCCTTACTATAAAAATTCTGGAGCTGTTTCTAAGATCAATATCTCATTTTATTGGAATGAAAAAAATAGCAACTATGAAGGAGATAGGAGAGTTTTGAAACATTTAGAAATCTTAGCATGTTATTAAAGTCTTTATTTTCTGGTCTTCCTGGTGGCTTTTTGAGAGTTGGTGTGGTCCTGCCACCCCAGGGCCTGCGGTTCCTTACTTTAACTCCCCTAAATAGAATTTCACCAAATTCTAGGTAAGAGATAAGGAGCAATCTCATCCATTTTAAGCAGGTCACTTGAATTTCTGAGAATTTCCAACAAAAGTGATTATCCCAAATATCAAAATATCTGAAATTGCATGCATTTTCTTTTTACTTTCTTTTTCTCCCTTTTATTTTCAGGTTTAATTCCCCTCTCTGAATTCCATGTTAAAATGGCTCCCTCCTCCCCGTCTTTTCTTTCTCCAGTGTTGTGAAATGAAAAGAAGTGAAGTTTATAGTCGGCCTCATACATGGCTTGGCTCTAGACTTGGTCAGGGAAGGTTTTGTTTCTAAGAGGGTAATTTCTGAAAACAACCAAGTCTTAATAAGCCCCACCAACCTTCATTCATCCACTCCGATCTCTAAGAAGTTGACAAAAAATAAGTACCTAAGTGCTACTAAAAGTAGCAAGAAATTAGAGAGGATCTTAATCTAAGTTCTGAGGTTCTAAATGGTTTGCCTGTTTTCTCAACAACCCTGTTGGTGAGGTAGGAATTACTATTATCATTTCATCTATGGGGGAACTCACATGGAAAGAGTAAATACCTTGTCCAAAGGCCACATACCTAGTAAGGGCAGAAGATCTTCAAGCCTTTTCTTCTAACTTATTCATAGGTTACAGGGTGTTCGGCTTACTTTAAAAATGCCACCTTCATTAGGAGCTTAATAATCTTGGGTTAGAGAAACTAGATTCCATATTCAATTTAAAATATGCTGCTGGATAAATGTGGAAGGGTAAAATAAGCAAATGGCCGAACGTCAACATAAAACAGAATGTAGTGCTTATATTGTGGCTTATAAGCCATATAGGGTCTAGTAGAAAAAACAAATAGATGTAGGAGTCAGAAAGGCCACAGAAGTCTCAGTTAGGCTCCTAACGTCACAGAGCCTAAGTTTCTTTGCCTATAAAATGGGTATAAAAATAGTTAATGCATAGGGATACTGTAAAAACTAAATAAGATAAATAATGTGGTGTTCCTATAAACAGGAAAAGGGCTACAGAACAAATGAATCTTTAATCATGTCTTTATCATCTCATTCATTTCTTTTGTCAACAGGTGTCAACTTTTTAGACATTAACAATACTCTTTGCAAGAATACCACAAAGTACATGAAATTATTTCTATTTTAGAGGTGGGGAAACCAGGGATTAGAGAGGATTAAAGAGCATGCCTAGCATCACACAGCTAGTGACAGATACTCTAGTGTGGGAACCCAGAGCTGATGTTCTTAAACCCCACTGCTAATCAAAAGAGCAGATTTTCCAGCAACTACTGATTGACTAGATAGGGAGGAGAAGCTCATACCCTTTTCTTTAAACTGCATGTCTCCAAAAGCCAAACCAAAGGTGATCTTGCATGCAACTTTGGAAAAAGCCAGGCGCTTATCAAGTTGCAATTTTTAAGTTGAAAGAGGCCCTGGAGAGCAACGGATTCTTGTCTAATTCCTCCATTCTTCAGTTGTAGAAACTGAGGTCTCACAGGCCAAGTTGTTTGTTATTCGTCTGATTTCTATGAGTATTTTGGGCATATTCAGCGTGACAACTCTGGTCTCTTGACCCTCAGTCCCTTGCTTATTCCTACTTCTTTCAAAGTCTGGATAGATTTGCAAAGCTGAAAAACATTGCACTTTACCTCAGTTCTCATTCTTTCTGGGTTCCATTATTAGGTTGTTTCTTGGTTATCAAGAAAACATCTACAACATAATTTCAAAAGCCCCTAAGGAAATGCAATGACTGTTCTGAATGAAGCTGTAACATCTGCTGTATGCCAGACACTGTGTTAAGCACGTTACCTTCCTTTTTGCGGTTATCTTTCAACTTTGATTACTGTCTTCATGAATTTTGCTAAATCTCTATACCATCTATGTAGCTGTTAACCTAGTATTTGTCTTTATGTTGACCTTAAAGTTCTAACTACTTTAGTTTTATCCTGGGCTATAATACTCATGAAATCATGACGTGCTAATGATTCTTTAAATGCATGTTATATAAACACTATTTATATAATATGTATCATTGGATTAAAACATGTATTTAGAGTGTTTATATAATATATGTATATATATTTATATATAATATATGAAGTGTTTATATTAAATTTTATAGTTAACTTATAAGTACTATTTACATAATATGTATTGAAAGAATACATAACACTATTAATAGTTATATAACTATTAACGTTAAAATGTTTGTCATCTAAGCCTCTCTAATTACCCCAAAACTCTAAAATACTAGTATAATTCCTGAATATCCCATATTATATCACTGAGCCTAAGTTTCTTTCCTATACAAAGGGTATATTATATCCCAATATGTTCTTGTTTTGTCATAAAAGAGAAAGCCCAAAGCTCAGTTAAACAACTTAACCCAGGTTTCCCAGCAGGTTAGTGGCACTGCTAGAACCCAGATCCAGGTCTGGCTGGCTTCAAAGCCAGTGCTCCTAACCGTGCCAGCTAACAACAGGAAGCAGTGCTCATCAGTAAGCTGGACCAGACCACAACTTAAAGGTGATACCATACAAAGGTACAGATTGATTAACTTATATTATTGTGTGTACGTGGGGTGGGTGAGTTTATTTAGGAACCACATATAAGGGAACAAGGGCACTACATCCTTTTTATTTTTAAGTTTTTTTTTTTTTAAGTATTGGGTTTGAATCTCAACATTTTACTGGGGAGTATAGTTTTAAGCAAGTGGCTCACTGTGACTTTTCTCTGATTAGTTTTTTATTTTTGCCTGATAGAATAGCAATAACTCATGTTTTGTTTTGTTGAGTGGATTAAATGTGTAGGTTAAACGAGACAGCTACAGAGAAGTTGAAACAGCAGTGCAGTGATCGTTCCCTAACCTCCACCTTTAGTCTCCAATGGTTAACATTCACCACACTGATTTAAATCTCACTCTGTGTGTGTCTGTGTATGTGTTGTTTTGGCTGAACCATTTACAGATAGGTACAGATATTTGTGTAATCTCATCCCTAAATACTTCGCATGTACAAGGAGCAAAGACATCCTCCTACATAATTAAATACCATTATTCTATCCAAGAGTGTGGCATTGATACAGTCATATTATTTAAGATGCAGTCATATTCAAGATTTCCCAACTGTCCTCACATTTCCTTTGTTGCTGTTTTTCTCTTCCTTCCACCATCTAAATCATTTGTTGCATTTGGTTGTTAGTTCTTCTTAGTCTTTTTAAATCCAGAACAACACTTCTACCTCTTTTGTCTTTCCTGTTTTTCATGGTTAGATTTAGTTTAATCTGCCTTTGTTTTTTGGTTGGGAGGAGACACATTTCTTTAGATATTACTATGTATATTATCTATATTATATACTGTATATAATATGGTTTTGCAAAAATTACTTGAAAAAAGTTATGCAGACTTGTGGGTTAACAGAGCAAAACTCCTTAAAACCCCAATTACTGAATAAGAAACAGTTCTTCAATTGGCAAAGTAAAGAGAATTAATTTTGATCTATGGTAGCTGTGCCCAACCTCCCCAAAATCCTCTATATGACTTGAATGTATTCCCCTAACTATCTCCTCAAAGCCAGACTTGAAATGAATATAAAGCTGTTTTACCTTATCTTCTGTCATTTTACTAGTTGGGAGTCCTCCTATCAATTCCAGGTCTTGCGTGAGTGTGGCACATGCACCTAGCTCCTGCCTGTTTATTTGCAGCTCTACCTAGGCCTAGTTATGCATTGCAGGAGGAGGAGCAAGGAGAGGGAGGAGTTGGGTTACTCAGACCTAAGAGTCCAAGTCTAATCTTCTCAGCAGCAGCTGAATATTGATGGCAATCTAATCAATAAGTGCTTTGCCTCTGCAACCTGTGGCTTCAGTGCCTTTGTTCCACTAGGAAAGGAAATGGGAGCAGGTCCCTTAGCCATAAGTTACAAACCAGAGGCAGTCACATTTCAAGGCATGTGTTGTGTGACAGTGATTGGGAGCAGGTGAAAAGAGAAATCTTTGGAGTCTTTTGTAGAAGATGAAATATGCTGAGCTGCCAGGCTCTGTTGGAGCATGGGAGGCACACTGCATTCTGCTCCACAGACTCTTAGTGCTGTGGTGTTTCTGTTTAGAGCTGGGCTGCGTGGCCAGAGACCGTTGTTGACTTGAATGGTTACCTGAATGTGCTTTGGATAGTTGTGGACATGGGTTCGAATCTCAGCATTTTACTGGGGAATATATAACCTTAAGCAAGTGGCTCACTATGACTTTTCTCTAATTTGTTTTTTATTTCTGCCTGATAGAATAGAAATAACACACATTTTGTTTTGTTGAGTGGTTTAAATGAGATAATATGTGAAAGTGTTTGGCATAGTCCCAACATATAATAAGTACTTAGCTTCATGTGTGTCAGTACCTACATGAAGTATGTACTTCATATATGTCAAGCTTGAAGTATGTACTTACTTTATACCAGTACTCTGCTTTAGTAGACAGTTCTCAAATAAATCTGCTCATATGGCTTGAGCTTGGGCCTTTCTAAGTAACCCTTACGATATCCAAACCCTGTGGGGGTTCAGAAGATTTCAAATTTATTGAGCTTTAAACGAGCACGTCAAATGGGGCCAGTGATTCCATCGAGGCTCAAATGGAGCCATTTCTCAGCAGAACAAAAATGTAACAAGCAGCAACAAAAGGAGGGGTGTGATGAAGAAACGGTGAGAAAATGGATTAGAGGAGACTCCGATTTCATCTTTTTTTTTGCCACCCTCTTTTCATTTCTGTTACCTCTGCAAGGTGAAACACCTGAAATGTTTGCTTTGAGAAGAGAATTCAGTTCAAACCACAAATTTTTATTGAGCCTAGCACAGTTCCATGCTCTGAGATGATTGAAACAAGTCACAGCCTCCTCTTGCTGGGTGTTTATGACATCTAAGATGAAACATATGTAATGCACGTACAATACAATCATTCCTTAGTGGGAAAACAGGAACAAACATTAATAGTAACGATGGTTAATCTTTACTGAGGTCTTGCGCGGTGCCAGGTGCTGCCCTCAGCATTTGACACGGATTAACTCGTTTAGTCATAATGTGAGTGGCTCTGTGTCAGAGTGCCAATGCCAAGCTTTGAAGGCAGAGCGCGCAGGGAGCCACGCTGACTTTCCGCATCGGTTTTGGCCGGCGATGGGCACGCCCAGTGGCCACAGCGGTCTGCAGTCAGGAGCAGTTCCATGGCATTTGCCAGTTACATGCCATTCTGCAGGAAAGCGTCTCTGTGCCTCCTCATAAATGCTACTTGTTGCGGCTTACCAACCTTTGTCTTTTGAACCTGCCTTTTCAGAAACGGAATTTGCCTGGAGTGCGAGGGCGGCCGGCGAGCCTTTAACTTCCGGTGCTCAGCCCCGGCCGGCGCGGAGCTGCCGCGGGAAACCCTTCCCCTCTCCCACCGGGAGCGCCACCCGCCTTTCACTGGCGGGCTCTGGGGGCGCCCTGATCAGCTTCCTCTGGTTTAGCCAAGACCCCTGTGGTTCTGCTCTCAGAAGTGAATGACTGATCTCTGCACCATGCGGGAGGTGCTAATATTTGATCTCCATACGGGTTAGGAGAGCGATTCATTGATTGCACTGACTGCTTTTGCCCACGGAGAACTGATACGCGATTCCAGACTTTCAGGAGAGCGTGCCTGAGCACCCACCGGGTCCCAGCACTGGTGTCAGTTGCGCTCCTGGCTGTGGCGAAGTCAGGCTTTTCGCACTTTGCTGTTGGAGTGGACGCTATTCATAACATGCACGGTGCCCGCAGTCACCCGATTTCCGCTGGGTGGGGTGGAACCAGTTCTGTGTGGTTGTTCTTTAGGCTTCATATTTAAAACCCTCTAGGTCACATTCGGATTACTTCACTTTCTAATTTAACCTTAGTGGATGCCCAAAGTTCTAGGTGCTGACAGGACAGAAAAGAGTCCCCCTCCCCCCGCTTTTTTCGTTGTTATCCTTTCCTTCAGTAAAATGAGGACAGTTTTTTTTTTCTCCTATAAATGAGGAGGGGAGAATAGGGAGGAAAACCAGCTATTTCAGCATGCTGTATTCCTCTCCAATTGGGTCAGGAATGGTTAAGTGCAAAGGCATCTCCTGGGAACAAATTAAATGAGGTCAAACTTGGCCAAGCCAGGAGTGCAAGAGATTATCAGAAGGTGCCAGTCCCTGGACAGTCAGTTTGAGACTGGGAGTGGTGACTCATGCCTGTAATCCCAGCACTTTGGGAGGCCGAGGCGGGCAGATTGCCTGAGGTCAGGAGTTTGAGACCAGTCTGGCCAACATGGTGAAACCCATCTCTACTAAAAATACAAAAAAACTAGCCGGGCGTGGTGGTGGGCACCCGTAATCCCAGCTACTTAGGAGGCTGAGGCACAGGAATCACTTGAGCCAGGGTGCTGGTGGTTGCAGTGAGCTGCGATCATGCTGCTGTACTCCAGCCTGGGTGACAGAGTGACAGTCTGTCTTAAAAAAAGAAAAAAAAGATTTTTGAACCAAAATTGTCCCCGTTGTAGCCTGCCAGAAAACAAAGGGGGTGGGGAGCAAACTCTTTCCACCCTTTTCTTGCCCTCTCCACACCCTCTCCATAGATATCTCTGTGGTCTGCATTGCTTCCAAGTATGTCTGCACAGCCTCCTACCTGGCTTCCCTGCTCCCATTCCTACCCTGCAGTACCTTCTTGACACAGTGGTTAAGATACATTTTAAAAGTTAAAATCAGATCATAATACACTCCTGCTTAAAAGTCTCCAGAGGCTTCCCAATCACCCTTAGCAAGAAACCCACATTTCTCACCACAGCCCAAGAGGTTGATTTGACACAGGCCTTCTGTGACTCTGAGACCTTCTCCCCTTCCATGGGCCCAGCCACACTGGCCTCAGACTTGTCTAATATGTCCCACGCTCAGCACCTTTGTACTCAGTGAACCTCTGCCTAAAGCCCTTCTCCCTAGATTTGTATGTAGCTGGCTCCTTCCCTTCATTCAGATGATGGCTTAGTGAGGATTCCCTAACCAGGCTTCTTAAGATAGATACCACCTACCTTCTCTCTTTTTTTTTTTTGAGACAGAGTTTCACTCTTGTTACCTAGGCTGGAGTGCAATGGCGTGATCTCGGCTCATCGCAACCTCCGCCTCCTGGGTTCAAGCAATTCTCCTGCCTCAGCCTCCCAAGTACTGGGACTACAGGTGCACAACACCATGCCCAGCTAATTTTTGTATTTTTAGTAGAGACGGGGTTTCACCTTGTTGACCAGGATGGTCTCGATCTCTTGACCTCGTGATCCACCCGCCTTGGCCTCCCAAAGTGCTGGGATTATAGGCTGGAGCCACCGCCCGGCCACCACCTACCTTCTGTAACTCATCCTTAGGCTGTTACTTTGCTTAATTTTCTTCTTAATGCTTATGCTTGAAATTTTATTATTTGCTTGTCTAAAATTGTTTGACATTTTCCTGCCAAAGCTAAGTTCTACGAATGTGGAGATCCTGTTTTTTTTTTTTTTGTTTGTTTGTTTTTGAGACTGAGTTTCGCTCTTGTTACCCAGGCTGGAGTGCAATGGCATGATCTCGGCTCACCACAACCTCCGCCTCCTGAGTTCAGGCAATTCTCCTGCCTCAGCCTCCTGAGTAGCTGGGATTACAGGCACGCGCCACCATGCCCAGCTAATTTTTTGTATTTTTAGTAGAGACGGGGTTTCACCATGTTGACCAGGATGGTCTCGATCTCTTGACCTCGTGATCCACCCACCTTGGCCTCCCAAAGTGCCAAGATTACAGGCGTGAGCCACTGTGCCCGGCTGCAGATCTTGTTTTTATCCCCAGCGCCTAAAATAGTGCCTGGTACATAGAAGGCACTCAGCAAGTACTTATTTAATAAATGAAGTCCAAAAGAGTTGCCACGTGCTTTCTTGTGATGGGGGAAGGGGTATCTCAGGCTGAGATTTGGACATGTATTGATTTAACATTCCATAAATGTATTTACTTAACATTTTGCTAAGCACCAATTATAAGAGTAAACAAAACAGAGTTAAGTCTCTGCTCTTGCGGGGCTTACATTGTGTGAAAGAAGATAAAAGGGTGCTGAAACTAAAGGGGTTCTCCAGAGAAATAGAACCAACATAATGTGTGTATATAGGGAGAGATTTTAAGGGATTGCTCACATAATTATGGAGGCTTGGTGAGTCTAAAATGTGATGGGAGAGGCTGGTAGGCTGGAGACTCAAGACAGACTTGCATTTGGATCTGAAGGCAATCTGCTGGAAAACTAGGAAGGGCAGATGTTTCACACAAAGTCCAGAGGCAGTCTGCTAGGAAATTCCTTCTTGCTCAGGAATTAAATGTAAATGTCATCCAACCTACTTAAATGTGAATATCACCTGAAAATGTCTATACAGAAACATCCAGAATAATGTTTGATCAACTATCTGGACACCATGGTTCAGTCAAGTTGGCACATAAAATTAATGATCACAGTGAGTAACCTTTGAGATTGGCTTTTTTCACCCTGTGAAATTCCTTTAAGATTCATCCAATTGTTGTGCATATCATTAGCTTATTCCTTTTATTGCTGAGTAATATTCAGTGATATGGATATACCACAGTTTATCCATTTACATTTGAAGAACATCTGGGTTGTTTTCATTTTTGTTGCTATTAGGAATAAAGCTACTATAAATATTTGTGTAAAAAAACTGTGTGCAGGCATAAA